CTTTGTTTCACTCGCAATCTTAAAATTTCACTCGTACAGTAAGGTGGATGTATACATCAACTTTAAGCTATCTTTACCTCATGATCTGACCCTGCTTTGAAATGATTTCCTTATCACGTAGTTGGTATTCACTGTGTGATAAAAGCTGTTAAAAGACCTTGTAACCAAGGCATTTTCTGTATCCACCATCGTCTTCCCTTTCATTCTAAAGTAATTGATTTTCTGTTTTCTGTGGGTCTTAATTGTATGATTCACACAGTCAAGAAAAAAATGATATGCTTTCAATGGTACACGCGTATAACGTTTTATATCTAATCCAGTTTACCTAATGAGATCGTTTTAGTCGGGATGGAAATGTAACTTTTTTTGTTCTCCGTTCATTATAAACGCATATCCAGGCGACGGATTACTTAAGTTCTGTTGTTTAGCCATTTGTTGTTGGCTTAAGCTTACGACATGCGTGCACTACAAACAAGCATCGATTCATTAGGCACGAAAGCTTCAAAACCAATATGCAGTGTGTTTTTTGTTATAACAGCTTATAAGTAAGCCATTTTTGGAATACGGAGGGCGTTAAGATAGGTTCAGAGTAATTACTATATTGAAATTCACCCAGTTGTCACCCGTTCTAGTACGTGTGGATAAACATTTACATTAACTTGGCTTAATTATTTCGGAAGGCCTTTTAAACAGCGTACCTTTCAATAAAAAAGAATATTGCTCTTTTGTTTTCAGTTATTTCCAGTAGCTATTAATAAATCTTTCTTAGTACCACATACATGAGTCGTTCATTGCCTAATTGTAAGAAATGTGTAAAGATGCTTTCGACGAATTTTGGCCTTGGCCTCAGTCCCGGCCTTTAGAAATCTTTTGCATGGACCATTTGGCTAAACCCTTATTCCACCATCCTTTGTTTGTTCGTCTCGGCACCTTTGTTTTCTCTCTAAAGTTTAAAAAGACCGAGAAGTTAGTGACATAAAACCCCAGTTAATTGTTGCCGGTACAATTATGCGCCTAGCTAACAAAGCTATTCTGCTGAAATACTACCCAATCTCTGTATTTCTCTCTGTCTTTTCATTAAAAGGGCTACGAACGCTTAAATTCCATTTTTCTTTCATCCTACCCAGTCCCTTCCTCAGAAACTAGAATCCTTCCAAGCTGGTCTCTCAAATTTATACCAAAACGAAATATACGTCTGTAGGATAATTCTTCCAGACCGATATTCACCTCCAGTATATTCTCGTACTTTTGCGGCACAAAGTTACTTTTTTTTTGCCAGTTAAGCCGTTATGTCAGACGACAGAGGCCAATAACATCATAATCGCGACTTAATTGACCAATCAGGTCAATAACCAGAGTTAAGCGCTTTAAAAGACTTAAGAATGAAAGATCAAAAGCGCTCTGCAAGACTTTAAGACTACAATATTCATGGCTAAAAATGAAGAAATGCTTTTTTAGAATAGAAAGTTACCATCAACTGACGTACAACTCACTTTGAGTCTGAATATGACTACCGCACAAGTTGTCGAAAACGTCCATAACCGTCAACAACAGTCCTAGTCAGAACTACCCCCACCCGGACGAAAGTATACCACCTACTTATGAAATCACTCCTGGGTTCAATTTATTCACTGTTTTACAGTGTAACATGTTCTATAGAATTGCGATCTTCTCCTTGTTTTTGTTCACCTTTACTTCTTTTCAATCCTAAAATCTACTCATATGCCTTACAGTATAAAAAACACGTGCTTCCTTCCCGCCGGAATTGAAATCAAATTTGAAATTCACCCTGTTGTACTTCCTTCCAGTGTTCACAAAAGGCATCTTTCTGCAGTGAAAACGGCCAATATCTTGTAGTGGACATCGGCGACAGACTCTCCCAGTGCGACCTCAAAGAAGGAATTTCGTAAACAAGCTCTAGGGGATAAATTTTCAAAGGCCGTTTTTCCAGGGGCCTTATATTGCTGGTTTGCACGTGACGTCACGGCGGCGATGTTGGCGGTTACGAAAAAAAGCATTTCTCTCCTCTGGGAACTAAACTCTATTTTCATTTAAATTTTTCGAGAAAAAAGTCTATTTTATTGACCACCAACATGGCCGCCTTGTCACGTGGTTGAAAATCAAGAATTCGGAGCGAAGGGAGGCGGGAAATTTGGGTTTCAAAATTTTCATGGCTTGTAATTCGGGAAAATTTTTATTTCAATCCACAAATGATTTTGGCACCTACTAGAAAATACCTCTGAACATAACAACTTTAAGAACCACACTGTCTGGTTGTCACAGCTAGCTCAACTTTCACTAAAAAGTGGCTTGCGAAAACTTGTGTCCGGCTTGCAGCAATTTTTATTCTTTATTTGAGGACATGTAAGCGAGGCGGGTTTTATATGAAGGGCTCATTGAAGGAGGCTTTTGCGTTCAAATTTGGGGGGACTTCAGACGTTAATGGTTATATGCAGCAGTATGTCTGATATTGGAATGATTTTGACCATATGTTCCTAGCAATACCCTATAAATACTTTCTATGGCAACAGCAGCGAAAATAGCTCCAACTAACCGTCATTATTTGCAACCTCGTTCCGAGGGTTCTCTCCTACCATTTGTCGAATAGAGTACCGAAGTGATGACGTCATAAAAAATGAAATTTGTGAAATTATGGGATTTGTTAAGATTTTCTGAAAGAAAAACGTCCAAGACACCTACTCGCCAAAAATTAGCAATTCGGGGCATATTGTCTCTGAGATATTAGCCCAGTTATGCTGTGACGACTCCATACATATCCTTCTAAATTTGGCTTGGTTCATAAGATTAGGAACCAGGTAAGATTTAGAAGGATTTGTATGGAGTCATCGGAGCATAACAGAGACAATCTGCCCCAAATTGCTAATTTTTGGCGAGTAGGCGTCTTGGACGTTGTTCTTTCGGAATATCTTAACAAATCCCATAATTTCACAAATTTCATTTTCTATGACGTCACACTTCGGTACTCTATTAGGGAGAATACTCCAGGAGATGACATCTTAAAGACTGTGTCCAAGTTGAAGGAGAAATCCCGTCGTATTGGTGAAGTTACAATGTACCAAAAAGAGTTATACACATACAGAATTGTTTTCCATATTAGATTAAACCAATTGCTTCTTCGACGTTCCGCTTTGCTTGTACCATGACATCTTTCTCCGTGCATATTACTGGCTAATCTTACTCTGATAAGTGACACTCAAAGACTTCAAGATAGTACAAAGTGAGGGCGCGGGGGAGGTTGCCTATTCAAACGCTTGTAAAAACGGTCACACTCTCCTCTTCATGATAAATAACACTAGTGGGCCGTTAATTTAGTCCTGAACCAAACGTAGTTAGCGTCTGGCCGCTATGTTATAAGAAAAGCACAGTGAGCTTTGCTCTGATTATCCACTTAACGCTAACTTAGACTGGAAGCGTGGGCACAAATATACGGGCGGTTAATTTAGTGTTAAAGACATGTATAAGGTTTTTAGTTACAACAGTACAAAAAAATCCTTCGTAATTTGATTTAGGAACAATTTTCTGTGGTGATGAAGACATCAACATTTTCACTGATTTTAACCTGCACGACCAGGACCAGTATGGCTGCAAATACACCAAACGGTCTTTTCTTTTCAGATTGTTTTGACTGTTTTTAGTTCAGTCATTTGACCATCTTACGTAATGTAAAACAATGTAGAAGTATCCGTTCCTTAAGTATTAATGTCGCCAGTGAATTCAGTTTGAAGTCCTTTCATTTCACTATCCCCCGACGATGTTCCTCTGATTCTGCTGATTTGATCGCATGAGAAAACTTTTCAAATCCTAATATCCAGCTGAAAGTTTTCAAATTTCAGACAAAGGACAGCACTTGTTAGTACTTGCATTTACGTTTGGGGACGAACTAAGATGGTTGAGGAATTCTCACAGTCAGCTCTGTTAAGAGAGCGGGCAGTGTGGCCAAGTCGTCAGCGCGGCGTTCGAGTCCGGCTCGGAACACTGGCCGAAGTTTTTCCTTGGAAGTCCGGAGTTCAAACCCTTGGCCATACTTGTAAATAGCCTACATCCGCTGCTCCTAGACTTTGGAATAAGTTGCCTTTGAATATCGGAAATAGGGGCACTTTAGCCCATTTATTTCACTCATAGATCAGCTTCCAGTGTAGGTTAAGCATTTCAGTCTGACGTTTTGTAATTTATTTTTCTAAGGATACAGAATATTAGCTCGTTTTTGTGATTGGCGTTTTATTCTATGTTTATTAGGATATATCAGAAACTCATAAGGGTTATATGAGTTTCTGGATATAAATATAGTAATATTTTTTAGCTAATTTTTAAGACTGTAAAGAGCATTTGATCATATGTATGTAAATTTGCGCTATAGAAGTATTAAAATATTATTAATAATATTATTATTATTATTATTATTATTATTATTATTATTGGGTGTCTCCTGCCAGATGGAATTAAACCTGGTTATGTTTCATTTGGATTGTTTGTTTTTTATTATTCGACTGGAGTGCCTGTAGGCTCAGAGCCAGAGTACGATAGCTAAGTGTACTTCTATAAATTCCCGCCACTCGGGAGACTGTATGGGGAATGGGTACAAGTTTTAGGCGCAACGATTTCTGGGAAGGTTTGGGTGGACAAGCGTTACATCGAGCAATCATAACTAATGCTTGACCACCCAAACCATCCCAGAAATCACCGCGACCAAAGCTTGTACCCATTCTCCTTAGAGTTTCTGAAATGGGAAACGCACAAATTTGTTTTTTTTTCTCTCTCTCTATTCTATTTTCCAGAACCCACTAAAGAACATCAAATGAACTCCTCTCTTTTATCAGCATCAAAAATGTAAGTTATCTATTTCATTTTGAAAAGGTAATTCTGAAGCATGCCTTGAAATATTGCACTATCCTAATTCAATTTTAGCTCTTTTAGCGTAATTTTTGTTCCAAATACCTCTTTTTTCTAGCTTTCATTTATACTCTAATCTTAACTAAACTTCAGCAATACTCCCGGACCTCCTCCATATGGCATCCTTCAATACAACATTCTTCTACTATGTTTGTGGATGAGCTAGATCTCCTTAATCGATGAAGAAAATTGTTGGCTTCTTTTTCATCGACCATAACTGACCCTGTGAAAAGGCAAATAAACGAGCTTAAATGCAATTGTTTCCGTTGGTTACTCAGGTGAACAAATTATGTTTAATCAGTTTGGTAAGTAGTACAAGAACTGATTGGGAAAATAACGCAATTTGGAAGAGTAATTGACAGTTGTGTGAGGGAAAGTGTGCCTTGAAATAACGAGACATGAGTATGCCACGGCGAAGATATAACCCCTCTGACTCCCAGGAGGGGGGGGGGGTACTTTAGGAATTTCTGGGTGGGGATGTGCCGCTGGGACCCTGGAACCCTTAACCTATACCAGAGCTAGTTCAGCTGAATTTTACTACCCTATACTAGAGTAAACTCCCCAAATCCCCCCTATCCTAGAGTAGCTATTTCCCTTGTCTAGATAAAATCTTCAACCAACTGATCAGTTTCCTGAAAAATGATACCCTATTCTAGACCCAAACGCTCTGATTTATATACCCTACCCTAGAGTAAACTGCTTGAAAACCATACCCTTCACAGCGGCACATACCTATATAGCCCATATATGGCAGTACCCCCCCCCCCCCCCCCCCCCCCCCCCCCTTACTTTTTTTTTTAAGAACCAAATAATCTCCCCTTTTTTGTCTCTCCCTTTTTTTTTTTTGTTTAATAAGTATAATTTTGTAATAGTGTATTTTTTGTTTTTTATTTTTTTTTTTTTTTTTTTACTTTTGTGATATATCTTGTACCCCCCCCCCCCCCCCCCCCGCTCTGACTTTAAAATTTGGTGAATGCCGGAAAATTTCTCCGTTAGATTCTCGTCACCTTACTTTCTTATTAGAAAGATGCAAAATTGTGAAATGGTCTGTTATAGTTATAGTTTATTTGTATTTGTGTTAAGACCGTTTACAGAGATTTTCATATAACTAAATTAATACCTATAAATTTGTCATGAACTTAATGAATAATTCACAAATTTTACAACTATTAATTCGCTCCACATCCGATCTGTGAAAAATCGAATTCCAAAATGTTGTCTTATGCGAATGGCAGAGTACACTCCTTAGGTACTTACTGTGTGTTTTGCTTTCGTCATAATGATAGCCGTAACAAACTGCTAAATATATTTCGGTTGTTTGATCACCGCAGAAGAAACCGTGGATTGGCCGATGACCAACTTCATTAATTTTCCTAAGTTGAGCTATAAAAAAAAGGGCAAAACAATATAATCAATTACAGGGAAGACATTTTAACCACTGATAGAACGTTTCAAAGCGTCATAGGTGATATTGTTTGAACGTTATGGCTGCTAAATTCCAGTTTGTAGTCTATTAAGTCGGTAAGTCATTGTTAAAATGTTGGTTTTTGAGGTGAATTTGATGGCAATCTAAGATCTCTGTGCGCAAATCTTGGTCATGCCCACTGCAGTGTGCTATGCGTGATTGAACTGAAAAAGCCAAAGCCAAGGGTTTGCAAACAAGTGCGCATGCGCAGTTTTGCAACGGGATTGTGATGGAATGGAATCGCATTAAATTTCTAGCAAATTGTTTTGTCAGATTTACACGAGTGCTTTAAAATTACGTGATAACCAGCCAATCGAGCCTAACATCGGTCGAAACCCGAATCACGCAGTAAGATAGTGTTTTATTACTTTTTTATTTAAAATATGTCCTAGCTCATAACTTTAACCTCTGCAAAGAATCTGTTCAAACTATTACAGGGGCACCCAACGTCACTTTTCGGAAAATATCTGTTCGGAAGACGATTTGAGATCTAAAATTTTCGGAACATTTTTTGTAAAATTTCTTACTTCCCTGCCTCTCTTAGGATTTTCGAAAACCTAAAAAATGGTATAATCGCCCATTTTTAACGAATTTTTACCCTAAAAAGGTCACCTAGACTTTTTGGGAGCCTTTTCTCTGGCTGAAATTTTCGAAAAGGTAAGTTTTGATCCCTATAATTTTCGGATCACTAGACTTTCAGATAGGATATCCGAACAGATGAAGAATTTTTAGGGAATAAAAATATGCCTATATATACCATTTAAATACTAAAATACGTCTAACAATGCTATGTTTAAGTGGTTTTGAACTATATTCTCGTGGGGTGCCCCTGCTATTAGCCCAGTTTCTTGACAGAGTTAGGATACGAACGGATGTTTCTTCTTCTTCTGTCGTCATTTTTTAATATTTTTTCTGTCGTCCATTGTCGTAAATCGTCGGATAATTGAAACATCTTTGGATACTTGACGTAAATCTTATAAATTTGTTCAGCGCTAGCTGGGTATAAATAATTCGCTGGTCGATTCAAGCCAACCAGAAACGGAGAAATATCTTCTCAACTAGAATATACCGTATTCGCTGTAGGCGCCATCTTTTCTTACTCGTGAGGATTGATAAATTGTCACGTGGTGGTGGTGATCGTGGTCGAGTTTGTTTATTCTAGACATCAAATAATGAATGAAGGAGAACTTAAAATAAATCAAGACAATAATAGCAAAATATGGATCGAGATGACTGTTGCGTCGTTTTTGGATGCTATATTGGTCGATGATATCCACGCAAATAAGCAACACTATTAAAACGCGAAACTACACTTACATTTCGAATCACAAAGAATCCGTTTCTTTTGAAAAAAGGAAGAAACAGACTCCACATTTGCCGCCGCTTTCATCAGTTGTTCTCCCTTGAAAGAATGGCATCGTTTTTATTCTGGAAGTGCCTCCTTGTTTGCAAACATGGCGGCCATATTATCCGTTTTGTTTTCAGCGGATTGCTCATACAGGCCCTGTCCTAAATCTGTTTATCCGCAGTACTCCCTTCCGCAAAATGCTCAAATAAATGGTTTTTCTTAGTGCCGGTAGCTTCGCTGATTACTTTTAGTAAAACGAAAATCTACTTTACACTGGCTCAATTATTTGTTTATAAATGGCTACGTATATACCGGTAAACAAGAAATACTTAACCTCCATGCACGTAGTCCTTTGGAAAAAGTGCTATCAATACTGCCAAGAACCATCCTCTAATTCTCGCCATCTAACACCAAAGTACAAAAACAAAATACCTTTTAGAAAGCCCAGTCCGTTTGTTTGCCCCAGCATTTGTTGAATCAAATGTTGAGAGAATTTGAACAGATCTTTCCCGGTCATTGTTGAACGTGCTGAAAGGTCTGCAAGGTTAGTGAAACAAAGTCAGACCGGTTTAAACTTTTATTCAACATCGCTTCAAAATCAGTTTAAACTTCACTCGTTCACCGTCATCTCAGGAGCGGAAAACAGTATTACATGCCGGAAAATTTATATTTATTTTGGATGTTACGCCAGTCCCAGCTAAAATCATACTGGCCGTTTTTGCTTTAGAAATTTAAGCTTGTAACAGTCTCTTGAAGGTGATTCAAAAGAGTAAATATAAAAGAACACCCGGTCAACAGCTTTGTCAAAGGTTTCACAGCGCAACCACATCTCTACGAGTAGGCTTATGGATGTTTTAAGTCAGGCAAACGCTTACTAGCTGAATGTATATGCTGTGGCTCAATTTAATCCTTTCGGCAAATTTTATTTTTAAGTCATTTTTTGGTTATTCTAATGTATGTTAATGAGTTTAAAACAAAGGGAAAAATAGCACCAAGGGTACGAAAATTGAACCATATAACGGACATAAATGTCGCTATCTCGTAATCCACAATCCATCCAGTTACAGTGTACTCTTAATGTAACATGCGAAATTATTGTGCTTTTTTTTTTCTAAAAGTTTAACCCAAACCTTAAAAGAGTTTCAATTTCTTGACGTTCCTTAAATGCTGCTGTTATTCGTCGGTTTCTTGAAAGGTTAACAGGCTTTCGACTCCATTGACGTTAAGCGAGGCTTGTTCGGCGCGTTCTATGCCAAATGAAATCATGCAGCATTTTTTGGGGGGGGAAGATTTACCTTTATCCAAATCTACTGTTTTCAGGTTCCACACAATGTGTACAAAACGTAGTAATAGTAGTGGGATGATGTTTATGTATGCGACACTTCCTTGCGAATTTTTTGACGTAAATCCAGCTGGGGCTCAGCTGTGTGCACTATAGGACAGATTGACATCTCCACCCGTGTGTGTACAAGTTTTCCTTTGCTGTTACTGCGCACGTAATTTGCTCATCTGCTGGAATCCTCGTAGGTTTCTTCTACATTTACAGTTAGTTAAGCGACGATGAATGCTGATAACAGAAAAAAAAAAAGCAATGCAGAACCTCTCTAATGAAGAAAATTAACGTTCGCTGCTAAAAAACTTCGACCGACCATCGAAGGTCTTTTCAACCAGTAAGCTTTTACGTTGTGGAACTTAAGTTTTCGAAGATTTCATTCGTAATAATTTATTCCACGGTCGAAGTCAGCACTTGTTTCTAATGGTGTCTCCGAAGTTGAAGTGAGGTCTCGGCGTGAGTCAGTGCTATATCAACCACACAAGGTGACTTTGAATGACGCTATAGTGATTCAGTGCTGAGTGTGACATGTTTTTTTCCCGATGTTTTTGCTTTTAGTGCGGTGAGAATAAACCAACACAAAAGAATGCTCAACGCAATGTCCATCTGTAACGCGAAAAATAATTCCCAAATAGAATCCATCCGCAGAGTTATACTTCCTTGAAAATTTGATAGTGCTTCACTGTAAGTATTAATATTGACACGGTATTGGTAAATGAGTTCTTAACATATTCTTCCGAGGTTGGCCTGGATGTTTTTTTGTTTTCGGACTACCTTGGTTGATAAGCGTTGTAACTACTTTGGCCTAAGGGTGTACGCATTGAGGAGTATAAGGCCGAGGTTTGTTTTATTTTGTTTGTTTGTTTTTATTCCTTTACCGTTCATCTAAGTGACTCTAAACCAAACAGCTTCTTAAGTAGCAAGCTGTATAGTAAGAGAGTAGATGGCGTCAGGGCCTGGAGGGGGGGGGGGGGAAGGGGGAACTCCTGGGAATTTTTGGTGGGGGGGTGTCGCCGGGACTTCCAAATGCTGCCCCTTTTTCAGCCCCAAAAAGGTCATTTTTCAAACCTGTTTTCAGACCTGCCCGCCTAAAATCCCACCCCGTTTAGCTTTGGTGGTGTGTTGTCGTTTGTTTTTTTTTTTTGGTTTGTTTGGTTTTTGTTCTTTGCCTTTCATATAAGGGAGTCTAAAGTAAAGGGTGTTTTGGGGGGGAAGGGGTATAGGGGGGGAGGAGAGGGGGTGGGGGGGGGGGGGGGGGGGGGGGAAAGGGGTACTCCTGGGAATTTTTGGTGGGGGTGTGTCGCCCGGACCTCCAAATGCTGACCCTATTTCAGACCCAAAAATGTCATTTTTCACACCTGTTTTCAGACCTGGCCGGCTAAAATCCATACCCGTTTTCAGATCTCGCTTAGAAACTCATGAGATCGACTTAGATTGGAACGCCAACAAAAAAATGTCTTAAAATCCACTTCGAATTCGCGTATTTCTCTTTCTTTTTTATCATCATTTGGAATTGAAATGATAAATGTGTTCATACACTCCCGTAGTTTCCTCGAAAACCATGCCCGACTCCAGACCAAAACGGGCAAAGTCTATACCCGTTTTAGTTATGGCTTGTGATAGACAAATTAACAGCACTCTTAGAAACTGTAGAATGGACTTTATAAGCCCCCTGCTTCTAGTTCAGGCTCTCCGTCACTAAATATAGTTTTTTCTCATTTCTGTGAATTAACCTGTTAATACTAGAGATAATTTCCTGTTCCTGGGCAAAAACTTGAATGAACGAAGAGAAAAACTCTACATTCAGCATTGAGAAAAACCCTAAATTCAGCATTACGTACACACCGTCATGCAGGTAAGGCCAGAGTCATGCTAACGGTATCAGATGCTCAACTTGTCGAATAGCCGTTTTTGGATGGTCCTTATCATGGCTGTTCAGCAAACGCCCGTTTCTTTGCAGAAAATAGTCACTTTGCGCCATGCGACACACCTTCTCTTTATCAGTGACACAAGAGTAACCTGCCCGGGATAAAAGTGTTGAGTACGTGATTGATTTGGTCCAAAACACGTCCGTGCGATAAAGATAACGATTTCATCTCCCAATTTTCTGTGTCTGTTGTTTTATTCAAAACACCGCTCGAAGAGGTCGTAAAAAAATTGGCGTTTCGTAGAAGACACGAGCAGATTCACGTGTATTAAGCACACGGCTTAACTCACGAACTGACTCACGCGGCAGAAACATTTATCCATTCCGTCGATCCAGATCTCTTCTAAATCAGACAACAAAGTCAAATTCACGAGTGTAACAGACGGGACACTGCCTTTTTCACGTGTTAGCCTGAGACTCACGAGCCCATAATAGGCAGTTTTACCTCTGAGAGCGAAACAGTTAATTTCCACACAGGATGAAGACAGGCCCAAACATAACCAATAACCGTCAAATATGTGATGAAAAGTACTTGACATTATTTAACCGGAGACTGACTAAGGTTAAGTGTTTTATAGAAAATCCTATAACGATTAAGTACCCATGGTATGTTTACATCACACGACCGGGCATAAGTCAAAGGTTGATTAAAAAAGAAAAAAGAAAACAGTCAACTACGTGAATGTGCGCGAACGTTGGCAAGACGTGAACTAAAAATGTAGCGTATTTTATTGACCCGTAAGAAATCACTTACAGTGGAACTTGTTAAACTGCCCACCTACCCCTCCCCTAGGCCTACATTAACACGTACTTTTCTCTTAGGGGAAAATGTTGGCTTAGGGGAGGGGTAGGTGGGCAGTTTCCCAGACACGTATAATGATCCCCAAAAGAATTATGTTATTCTGTGTGGTGGCGTACTGGAAAAGCTGCAAGTTTTTGGCAGCGTAAAAAATGAAAAGCGTTTTAAAAAGAATTGAGGACCCTCACTACCCATTTCTGCTCTGTGACCTTTGACCAAATATTCCTCGCCCCTTCGGCCTGACCTGCTTCATAGGATTTTAGTAAAATCCAAATGTGAGTTGAGATAACCATTTGATTTACATAAAAGGCGTCAAGGGGGAGGAGATGGAGCAAAAAAGGGCGTGGAAGACGTATGGTATGAGGACGCCAGGCGCGCCGCAAACACGTGTGTTAAACCGGAAGTGACTGTATGCGTGAGCAAACAACTAAAAGCCGGGAAGACCATGACTTATACAAGTAGTTATCCTTGCGTGATTACAGAGTGCGTTCGAAATTGAAGTATCTTTTGATGATGGAATGTGCACGGAAACACCACTGAGTAAAGTGTTGGATGATATTTCTAACTAAACGCGAACAGATAAACTCTTTCTAAGCAAAGGGGAATTCAGTATGTATGTGGGAAAAACGAGAAATCATTGTAGGTGATTAAATTGCCTTTAATACGTTGGTTCATATCTCACGCGACCTATTTAAGAATCCCGTCATCTCTCACGCGATAAGCCGTCGTCACGCAATCTCTTGAAGTTCAAGATGGCGCAGAAAAGGTAGACCAACGACGCACGCGAACGAAGAAAAAGATCGCCGCTTTTTAGCGCAAGGCGCCCAAGAATGTGTTGCGTTTTCCATATGGTCGAATGCAATTTACTGAATACCCTACCACTGACTTTGCAGCAACCTCCAAACGTAGGTTCTGACTTTCACTAACTATGTGTGTTTGTCCATTTGGTGAATATATCCTTTTAACGGTATTATCTACGTATCCCCTTCGATATCCACTTAGACAGCATATAAGCGCACATTAAGTCTGGCCTCGGAAAATGAAAGAACGCTCGAAAGGAACGACTGTGTATCCACGTATCCAGCTCTTTCAACATGGACTTTATAAAAGTAAGCAAGCGGCACTAAGGACTTTAACACAACTTTTAGCCCACCCGCGTACTAATGATACACACATCCGGTCGTGAGATCCGCGTATCATGAATTTTCTTGGGGGGTCATGATTAAGCTATATAATTACAATTATAAAGAATCGGGTACTTTGTCATATAAACAAGCCTCATCTTTTCGTCAAAAACTTAACTTATTGCCCAACTTTCAGTAACAAAAAATTACATTGGTAAGTTTTAAAATTTTCTGCCCAGTTGGCATGAAGATCGAGTTTCCAAAACTTAGGAAACGAGTTCGGGCCTGCGTTCATCTTGTGCTTGACTATCCAAGGTATGAACACCGCTGTGGGTCTAATTCTTACCAGCCACCCGCTATTTTGTTCCTTCTCGTTTGGTCCAGGCCATGACAGATTTCGATCACTCAAGTCATTTTTGAAATTCTTCGTAAAGAAAACTTTTGAATAAAAGTTACAGCGGAAAGCCCATATTAAATAATTGTACTTACAACGATACAGTGCCGTCACCTACTCGGTTGCCTCGGTTAGTACTACGGACTGTTTGGGTGTCCCAAACTTTACAAGTTAACACAGTAGTTAAAACTTTTTTCTTCCTTTCTTCTTTTCATTTCCATTTTCCATTCACTTTTAGCAACAATGAATTGTAAATTATTTTTTTACTTTTCCATTACTGTATGTACTGTATCCTTTATCCTTTAAATAGAGAATGGATATTATTATCTCAACCTTTTTGTTTTAATAAGTATTCGTATATGGAACTGACTTGACTTGCAATACCAATAACCTAATCAGACAAACCTGTATCAGTTAAGAGAGCCTGTGGCAATAAAACGGTCAATTTCTGCCTGTTATTCGAAGTTTCTTCAGCCGACGACTGGCAATATGTAGTCTCTCTCTTTACAGCAAGGCAACACGGAACAAAGATCACTTAAAATCCCCATGGAATTAATGAGCGCTTCTTACTCAACTGACAACTCTTTTTTTCATGTAGCTAGGTGGATCCGGATTTAACAATGCAACCATCAAAATAAATGGGAGAAGAAGATTCGCGAGCAGTACTTTATGCAGTTACAAATATTGGCTTTTACTATCCAAAGTGATTGTCTCGAGGCTGTAGGTAATGATTTCATGATCTACTGGTTTAGACAGCGTAGTTTCCGATGTATATTTTTTTAACAAGAAGAAAAGCTTACTTAAAGAAAAGCTTACTTTTACTTTAAGGGGCTGTGTCACGGCAGTCCAGTTCATTTTGTTTAATTTAGCCAATTACTCGCCCTCAATCGCTATGGAACTTAAAGTAAGCAAAGAAATTACATGTAAATGACAAAATCAGAGACCTGAGACAAACAAATATGTCACCTGAGCATCATTTTTGAAGTTACAAGCAGCAGGGATCAACTTTGAAAAACCGTTAGGCTGAACAGTTTTCAAAAGTCTACTTTCAATCCGTTTCAATCTTCTTCAGTTTTGCCCATCCGTGACTTCTGTTGTTTCTGGTATGTTATTTTAACCTTCCTTTAAAGTTTTAAGCGGTTATTTCTATGTTCCTCTTAATTTAACGGGCATTTTGTAATTTCCTAATTTGGCAAATTTCGTGACACAGCTCCTTTAAAAGTATAAGAGAAACCAATTTCGTAGGAGTAGTAGTAAGAAAATAGAGCTGCGATTATGGTTTGACTGATGTATAGTAATTATGATTAAGCATTAATTTAGAATGGTAAGCTTTTATTCTCTGTTTTGGAAACTCTGTATAGTAATACTATAAAATTACGGCTGTCGGTACCAATTGCTCCTTTAGGTAAGAGATAAATGTACACCGGGCTACAGGTCCCCTAACCCTCTTTACTTCGGTCTTTCTTCTTTTTCTTTTAAACTAAAAATTTAAGGCAAGGTGTCCTTAGTGTGTAGAGTTCATGAGGTATTTGAATTCCTTCTGAGCTACAGAATGTAGGATCAAATTTAGCCCAGAAATTGTACTTGGGTCCACTCGGCCACTAGCGTCGGTGACCAAGTGCTAAAAGCGCTGGGACTAGCTCACAATCAGGAGGTTCGTTCAGATCGTTCTGGCCACTAGCTGGATTTTTTTCTCGTTAGATCTGAGTATTGTATCTCGGCCACGCTTATAAATAGCTGGCCAACTCAGGTTTGCCCCCCTGCCAAATGGAACTCTAACACTAGAGAACTTTAGATTCCAAAACGAGGACGACTAAGAGTAAGAGATTTTCTCAATAATACGGAAGTACTCGCGCGTGAACCAGCGTCATTTTGGCGGGAAAACGCTTTAGCAGTCGTCATTTTTCTACGAGTTTTAACGAAATTGTCGTAGTGGCGGATGTTAGAAGTTTTATCTATCATTTTGTGTGACCCGGAGAAGATTGGAGAATGCTCAACCTCCTTCAATAATAACTGTGCTAACTTTTCTGGTGAGCAACAGTATAGTGAAGCTTTCAGGGTTAAATCTCGCGCTGGTAGTCTTCCTCGTCCTCGAATCTCCATTGTTATGTTAAGTTTGAATTACTTGTTTAAGTTCTAAGCTCGGCCTCACGATAGAGTATCTGTGCTAAACATACTGTACTGTATTGTACTCATTATCTGTCTTCTCATTGGCTAAGAGCCTGTAGCAAAGTTTGGAAATTAGCGCCACCTATACAAGAGACTAGCTAGTTATCTCATAGCAGATAACTGACTAATCCGTAGGTTGCGCGCGCAATGCATGATTTCCAAAGGGAGTTAAAGGGAGTGTGAATTCGGTTCCTTGCGACGGTGTGTTTGTCGTTATTTTCTTCAAAACAAAGTATAATAAAACAATTATTAATTTCTGTTTTTGTGCTATCCTAAATGATCAAGATCTCAGTAAGTGTTATCAGCCTCGGCCTTCGGCTCGGATGATGACATTTACTTACTTGGACCTGGATATCACAAGAACCTCACCCAATAATAGTTTATGATTATTTTCTATGGTGATAGAACACCACCGGTCAAGTTGTCCAGGCATGGGGCTCGCACCACGATCCCCGGCCCCGGTTCCTAAATGGCCGATTAGCGCCAATCCGGGATTAAAATTTTGTTTCACTCTTTGTATTTACCTTCTCATGCATTACTTTGGGTAAGATTTTGTGTTATCGTTCCTTTTTTTCGAAGTAAAGGCACAACAGTATTTTGTAAGCTCGAGCTATATGTTCGGAGACAGGAAAACCTTACTTAAACTTCGGCTTAATCCTGGGTTAAACTTAACCATCTTTCGAGGAACCTAGCCCTGATGTCAAGTCCAGCCAGCTACACCTACTCACGTAGTATACTTTTGTTAGATTCCGAATTTTTTAATCAACCGGCTCAGTGGTTCCATCGCGCTCTCTTAAACAATTGGTGGTCAATTAATCCAGAAAATGATAACTTTGAATAACCTATCTTTATTTTTGTATCTTTTAATATATATTTTAATATCTATCTAGTTAAAAATTTATTTCCTTTTATCATTATTATTATTATTATTATTATTATTATATTTTTGTTGCTGTAGCACGTTTTAAATTACCATGTACAACCAAGAGAGTCACTAACTCTTCACTGCGAAACGATGAACTGATATACAACATCTTGTTAAATAAGTTAAAGTTTTGTCTGCGGCTAAACGGTTTGGATCAGAGTCCAGTTCTGGCATCTGATTATCATTTGAAAAAGCATGTTCAACATAACGCAGAATTTAGCGCTTTTTTAAACAAAAAATGTAAATGTTCCTGTAATCATTTTTCTCACTTCGACATCCGAGATGTTCCAAAGTGGCGGGAGATTTCTCTTAACGTCTGTTTCAAGGGGTGTAGCTGTCTTAGCAAGTGCGGTTTGTGTAGCTTTAGTTGCTCTACAAATGTGACCCGCTAGATTAGTTCAGAATTGTAAATAAAAGGAATTTCAAAGGCGTTTAAAAAACATCTGGCCCATCTGCATCTCCACAAACATATGAAACACGTACCAGATTTTATGGGTACCAAAAATGTACAAACATTTCGCCTCATGTAAGGTCATCGAAGACAGTCTTGGATTCTGGATTCCATGCTGTAGATTCCGGAATACGGGTATTGGATTCCGGAGTCTTTGGCAGTGGAACTTGGAGTCCGGATTCCATCCATCAGCATTACATGGTGCGAAACATTCAGAAAGCATTGGGTAAGGACATAACGCCGCCGTACGTAGGTCATGGATTCGTCAATGATTTACTTTTTAAAAAAAGAATATGTCTATTTGAGGACCATCAAAACCCTGTTGATGAGCTCTAAGGGCGATTGCCCTTATCGCCTCTATTTCCAAAAGACTGTACATTATTCAAAAGAATTCTTTCTAGTGTTGGCCTACACCGTAGCTTTGGCCTGCGTTTTATCCCCACCCGGACAATGCGAGTGTACAACATAACAGATTTGTTTGTTCTAAGTGTTGTTCTTGTTTAGAAGTTAAAGTTCAGTACATGCTCTTTAGTTCGGCATTGTCCTTTGAAACAGGCGAACTATAGCCGCACCAGTGTTCGTTCTCATACGTTAAATATCTTCATTAACAGTATTCTGCCACTTCTTCGAGAGCACAGCCTTCATGGCAGCATTCTTCCACGATATCTGTCTGCCCTGTGCTTCTTCGGTGACGCTGTATTTGTTGTTGCAAAAAACTTAAAGCTTCTTTTTCATCCAAGAACATGGACCCTGAAAGAAATATTTAAAGGAGAGGTTAAACGATCAGATTGTCTTTGAATTTGATAGCGGAACGTGGCCATTCATCGACAAATAACTTGTTATGAGCACCTGTAAGAGGCAAGAGGTTTGCGCTTGGTATCCCAATAATAAGGGAAATACAATCGTCGGTTTAAAACTCATATTGCGTGACTACTCAAAGGGCCCCCATTAGGGTTGCTAATCCCCGTTAGCCAATGATGAAAGGTCGAAAGAGACACGAGAAAAATGTCGGCATAATGCGCTAAATCAAAATGAAAAGATTTGGTTTTACATTCAAGAAAACGAAGTTCACTTTTTTACTGGGTATTGGTACTTCATAACAGTATTTCCGGCATTTCGCATGGTAAAATCTCTTGATCACGTATCTTGCTAATCACGTATCTCGCGAGACACGAAAGTGCAGAATATCTTGCTGTATGAGTTTCTTAAGCTAAGTGATATGAAAGCAAAAAAAATGTTATCATAACTTCAGTACCCCTGCGTATTTAGTAATTTCTTTTCTTTTCTTTTTCTCTGACGGTTTTAGGAAATTGTAAAGATAATAAATGTTAGTATGTGTAACCAAATGATGACGAGTGAAGTAAGAGACTAATTTCACGCGCGTTTTGACGAAATTCTAATGATTTCCTGAGCCTTTAGAGTGGTTTTCGTTTGAGTGTCGTAAAACCAAAACCAAAGTAATTACTCTGGCCAATCACATAGGACACAGACAATACATTGAACCAATCAAAACTCGAAGTAATTACATGTGGCTGACTCAAAGCGCGGGAAAATGCATGCGAGCGCGTCACAATTGGCTTTGGTTTTACTTCTGATTGGATGAAAAGGTGGCGCGAATCTTTTAAGCCAATCGCATCGTGTAGAAAGTGCAAAACCAATTACTTTTCGACACTCAAATGAAAACCGCTCTATTAGTGAAATTTGAGTAATGCCAGAAAACAGTTGTAAACTTACGACGCTTTCTTGAGTTTGGAGAACACACTTCATTCCACCACGCAGTAATTTCTCTTCCGCAAGCATGGCCATGCACCTCGCTTCTCCCAACTTCGTTAACTTTATATTTTGGAGTTGATACTAGGGAATAAAAATATATTTTTTTTTCTATTAAACTTTTCAAAGTGCTCAAATGTAACCTGGTACCCAGGTCTTACGTCCCTTTCCCTTAGCCCTGGGAGATCTGGGTACGACGAAATTAGCTCAAATGTTCCTCAACTTCAGCTCACTTCGGCATCGCAAGAAAGTGTTGTCAATAAACAAGATGTTTGAAGGAGCTGAGATAAAATCATTATGGTGGCTATAGACTGCTGACCACATGACATGTGTCTCTGTAGGGGTACCTGCGGAATCGATTTTCTTCGCCCGTTTTCCATCAAATAGTCGGTTTTCAGGTGCAATCGTCTGATATGAAAACTCTTTTGCATTGTAACGCTCAGCACAACCATAACGACGACGGGAAGGAGAAAATAAGGAAAAAAAAAAACTCTGAACATGCAACAGAGGTTTCTTTGCCGTCATTGCACGCCGGACTAAGATTGTCAAACTTGATTAAAATGGTAGCTATCGTCGCTTTAATCTCTAAGAGGCTCTAACATGTTCCACATGATACAAGTTTAAGAACTGACACTTTTTTAAACTCAGCTCCAGAAGCATTTTTGATATAGGTCGTCTGCTGAACTATAAAGGTTCTTGAAATCGTTTTTTCATAAGAGACAAATGGCTTGTCATTTAAATTAATATCGCTGTGTTCACTGCCTCCTTCTCAGGCTCAGTTCAAACGTCGATCTTTTCATGTACACGACTTTTATACCTCTATAGGTCGACCCAAATGATATAAGTTTGACGTCGAACTCAATAAGTTGAAGTCTATTCATTTTAACGATGTTCTATGGTCTAAAAAAATAAATTTTAGTGTTTTATGCATTAGGTTTGGCACATTAGAAGTTTGACGTTTGAAACAAAGTCGCTCCCCCTGACAGTCGAAATTTCCATGTGGGCCAGTCGATCTTAATTCATGGGTTGGCCCAAATTAGAAATCTCGAACTTAACTCAAACGTCGATCTTTTCACTGATGTACTTAAATGAAGGGATCAGGTTTGGTACATGAAAAGATCGACGTTTGAACTGGGCCTTACTTCTTTTTCAATGTGAAACTAAATATTATGTATAATTAAATCACGAAATACATATGGTAATGATCATATATTGCTCGTACTCTTACAAACTATTAATTTAAATTGCTTTTTATTTTTTGTATTTTTATGACCATAAGAAACTGCAAAAGATTTGCGGTGGCAGCTGGTTACGTTTGTACAAAATTTTATCTCAGTTTTAGTCTAACAGGTTCTCAATCATCCGACTGACTTTCCTTTTATTTCTGTTTTTTCTGTATATGTTTTCAACGCATATTACGATATACCGACAGTTTATGATACCTTTTAAGAACAGGATATTACATTAGTTTCACTATTTGAGGTTTGTTTTTATGTCCAAACAGTGTTCCGTACCAGAGAAATTACTGATGAACCATGGCTGCTGATATGCAAAAAAAGTGCAATTCTACTAATAAAATATTGCAAAAATCTTTACCAATTCCCTGAGAAGACGCTGCAGAAGACACAGGTTCAGGGCGCAGAATATTCAGTAACAGGATAGCAGTGACTGCAACAGTGCTCCACAAACATGAATGTCTCATCTGAAAAGAACAAAGAAAAAAGAAATATAATGGTGCTTCAGTAAGTTAGCAATCGGCATGAGCCGCAGCTATAATGATCTATTGCTTCTTTAACTATTGCTTTCAAGAAGTAAACCTTACATTAATGGGTGAGTATTGTATATGGTCCTGTTCAAACAGTTAAGTGTTTACTATGTACAAGAGAGCAAGCAATGCTATCCGCTCTCTTGTGGGTGTTGTACTTTGAGTAAAGGTGAAAGGTAATTTCACGACTAGAGCTTTGAACCCACTTGGTCGTTTTCTTTGTGATCATAAGTACTCGCTTCCGTTTGGTCTACATGTCAGTTCTTAAGTTTGATGCTCAGAAGTTCTGAATGTTCGAGAAAAACTTTAAAAACCTTAACCAGGGACCTGAAAGAACAGGTGCGAACTTTGATGTGCTTCAAATCTTTAAGTGTGTTTGCCGTACTTTTTTGTTTTCGCTCAAGCGTTCTTGTAAATATATGTATAAAAAAGAAACCTGAAAAAATACTGATTTATAACATTTAACTTTATAAATAGACAAGCAATGTTTAGAATGAAAAAGATTTCAAACCTTTTTTGGGTTCCTCAGATGCTATTAATTGCTAACAACAACAATCCGTAGTTTTAACGAAAGAAAATAAGTTATGCAACAGGATGACATACGTGGCATGCGAGCAACAAATGTATAAGTTTGAAATCCGGGCTGTAGCAGCCTCGGTTCAGCTAAAAGTTTTAGCAAAATTATGCTAACTTGTTTATGTTTGCATTCACCATTTGTTCTGCAAGTAAAATGAAAAGGGCAGTTCTCGGGTAATTAGGCTTTGTAGCTTATTGCACGTGATGCACGTGCCGTGTTCTTTAAATTTTCAAAAATATCCGTCATCGCACTACACTTCCATTTAGGGAGTCCTAAATACCTTTACTGTCGTTATCAGCAAGTTGTTGTGTAACTTTTGTATCAAGTTATGTAACTTGATGCGCGTGACGCACAGCTGTTCGTTGAAATTACAACAAAAACCATCTGTCATTAATTACCAAGGCGAATAAACATTTTGTTTTCTCAGTGCCATCAGTTCATTGTTGTCTTAGATTATTACGTCCCGAGGGAGGACGCAGAAAAGTGTGGTGTATTTAAACTTTCCCCCTTCCTCGAAATAATTTCATGTGAAAATTCCCTCCCCCCCTTACAATAATAACAACAACAACTTTATTGACTTTATCTTCGACATGAAGATTTCAGTACAAAAAACAATAACAAATGAAAAAAGTAAAATAAAAGTTAAGTAAGAAGGAAAGGAACAATTGAATATTATCATAAAAGAAAAAAAATTACTTAGCTATGTACGGCTTCTACGCTGCTCGTATGGTAAGAAAGTTTAATTAGAGTTCGGATGCATAACAATTTAGAATATTTTCAATATAAGAGGCACGATTCACACTGATAATTTTTAAAGTACATAATACATCCCCTCCCCCATCTCTTCCAAAAGCCAAATTTTAAGATGATCCGTTTTTCTCTCCTCCATTCCTTTCTTGGATTTTGACTAAACAAGCTATTGGACACCGGTAATCTGCCATGACTGCGATATTGCGTGATGCTTCTGGAAAAATGCGATCGTCGTCTGGGTAGTATGGTTAGGTAAAACTAGTTGGGAGGGTTCTGGGGCAAGCTTGGTTGCAAAACATTCTCAATATGGCAGCTCTAACTAGCAAACGCCAAGGGTTTTTGGGAAATTCAGTATCATCCGCTGTCCAATATCACTGTAGACACGTGTATTGTATCTATAATTCTGTATATACTCGCAATTTGCGTCAGCAAAGAAAACTTGTCGAGAAAAAGTTGTTACCTTAAATAGAACTTTTTCAGAAAAATGACAATATTAATTAAACTGAAATTCTTGTCAGATTTTGTCTTTTAGTAGTTCTAAATATGAAAGAAACAGGAATCAACAACTGTTAAATCATCGTTTGTTTTTGTTTTTTCTTTTTTAATAAAGAAAAGAAAAAAATTAAAACACAGTAACACAGACACCTTCAGGTAAGGTTTTAGTTTTTGGCGGATTGCCTTCTATTTGCAAATGATAAATCTCCTGGTGTTTTCAAGTGTTATTTAGAACATTTAGCTGCTAATTTGAAATGTGTTTTTATTTTAATCTTTTAAGTACCGACGGAAAGACTAACTATTCACACAGCGGATACCAAAAAATGTCACGGTTTTGAAAGGAAAACGTGAATTTTTCCTAACCTTACTTTCGTCCTTAGTTAGGCCATAAAAAGCCAAGAACATTGTAAGACATTTTTAAATCCACACTGTTCCCAATTGAAAAGTTTTCTGTCTTCTCAGTTTAAGGTAATTCAGCCTTTCTTTTGGTTGATTTCTTTCCTACAAACGATTTTCTGAATTAACCAGCCAATGTTCTCGAAATAAGCTTTATAAAACAAGACACTGTTTGGAGATTTAGAACCAGAACATGTTAGCTTAAAGTACGACCCTAGACCCAAAATTAGGTGCGTAATCTCAAATTAAAGTTGAATTTTAAGGGGAAAAAGTCCGTCACCTCATTTTTTTGTCATGAGAAATTGCGAGTAATAATCAGGGTAAATGCATCAGAGTTTATAAGGGCAGCTTCTGATTTTCTAGTTCGGAATGCTGGGTCACAATGAAGTATTTCCCCTTCGAACTCGACAGATCTGCGACTAATAACAGTTTTATATCCTTTAAAAGTGCCTGAAAATACTTTCAGTGGATAAGGAAAGGGATCTTCTACTCGGGCTTTAGGAAAATATGGAAAGATTTCAGCAATTGTAAAAGGCGAATATCAAACCTTATCTCTTGGTCGTTTCCTTGATGACAATTGGTTACCGTTCAATGCCAGCGCCGGTCACTACTAGTTCTCACAGTAACTAACTTGACTATAAAACACGAGTGCATCTTATTGTGGTTTTAAACACTTAGGAGCTCCTTACGCCTTACGAGCATGAGCTTTAAGCGGATATACGTACGTTCGTTGTTACGGAGGAAGTTAGGTAACAAGTAATATTATCATGTCATTTTCCGTGCATTTTTTGTCTCGAAAACAACAAAACGCACGTACTACGGTTAATATAGGCTTAATGGATGCTTCTGAATCATTTTTATTTATATTTATCCATAGAGTTGAAATGACAATGCATTTTGAAAGAACTCCAAAGGAAAGGCACATTTTCAGGCATCATTTGAAAAAAGACTGTTTTCTAGTTTTTTTAATCCACAAAATTATCATAGTATACACCACTTTTGATGACAAGAAAAAGCGTTTAACTGTTATTTATTAGTGTCAGTGGACTGCGCTTGTCATTTGCCTTGGGACTGAGTCTTTTTTTACTCAGAATGTTGGAAAGCAAGCTTATGTTCTTGCGGTAATTTATTAACCCTTAGCCTTCCGAAAACACCAGAATTTTTGTCTGAATAATCTCTTAAATCCTACGGAACGTAAACAGATTTATACGCCCAACAGTAGACGATTACCAAGCCGGCTGCAAGGGGGCAAATTGTTGGCTTTTTTACGACCACTGAATATTTTTTTACGAAATTGAATCCACTATTTTGAACTCCTGGAAGGATTTATTTTTCTGATCACAATAGTTGATTTATTTGGATGAGGGGCCTCTGAGGTCACGTACTGACTGCTTAGGCCGAACCAGACGCAGGATTTTGAAACAGTTGTTTTTGATTTGATATTTTTAAAGAGGAACTGTGCATGTGCATGGATCACCTTTAAGCAAATTTACTTTCCAATGTAAACTTTGACAGTCCGTAATGTAGCTCTCTTCTCACTTACTTTGTGAAAAACGTATGAATATTAATGAATTTGTCTTTGACCATCTTACTCCTCTATTAATTCTTTGTTGTAACAATGTGATTCGAACTAATAATTTTGAACAAAAAAGTCTATTACTAGTTGAAGTTATTCAACAGGTTGTACTCAATTTTCAGTCTGCGAATCAATCCTTTCCATTGAACTGAAATATAAGCTGCGGCGCAAAAGCAACACCTGTTTCTTTACTTTTTTTTCACAACTGATTTCAAAACTCATTTTGATTCCTTTATTCAAAAGTAAATCATTACCAACTGCCTTTGCTTAGTTAAGATTGCTGAGAGAGAGAAAAAAAAATAGAAAAAGAAGGAATTACAATAGTGTTGAGTACACATATTCTACTAAAGGAAAACTTAAGGCACGAGTATCGCTCTGAACTGACTGTCCAGGAGAATCGAATCTCGCGGATTTAATCCACGCAGTTCAGGGAGGATGTCAAACATAAAACAAAAGTATTTTGGTTTCGTCAAAAGGCAGTGGATTGATTTTAATTCGCTAATTACATCATTCGCATTATTATAACTATTTACATCATTTTGCTCTTCAATAGCAGGCGGATAAAGAACACCTTGGAACTCTCTAGCGAAAAATATGGACTGGCCAGCTAAAAAAATAATCCAATATCACTACAGGTCTTTTATCCTTTATTGTGCTAAGTTCCGAGCCAATATTACTTAGTTTAAGTCCTTAAAACAACCAAAAAAAGGAATAAAGTTGTGACTGAATTGATATAAAGAGAACGTCACGTGTCAACTTGAATCAGCGACACTTGCAGCTGATCATTTTCTCAAAAAACGTGACACAAACTTGGTTGGTCGTCTTTTTGGCCTACCCTTTTTTTAAAGTTATTTTTGTCAGTTACAATACGGTATAGACATAACAATTTCCAGTGTAAGTAGTCTTGTTCAATGTCGTACAAGTAGCTTGTAGAGGTTAATTAATATGCTAGGTAGATGGATTTAGTTAAAAGCTCTTGAAAAGCTTATTTCTGTGGCGTATAAGGTGTAATACTGATATTCTCTTTGAACCAAGAGCGCCAAAGTAAATAATACACCTCAGTTTATAAAAGCCTTTAGTAGGCTGGGCAATTCCTGGGGGTTCTCGAATGATCCGAATACATGTAGTCCGCGATCTGGAGAG